TGATTATCGGAAGGAGTGTGGTTATTACTGTTTGTACCACAGTAATTACCCTATGTGTGACAGTGATTACCGGAAGTAGTATGGTTATTATACCACAGTAATTACCCTATGTGTGAGAGTGATTATCGGAAGGAGTATGGTTATTACTGTTTGTACCACAGTAATTACCCTATGTGTGACAGTGATTATCGGAAGTAGTATGGTTATTACTGTTTTTACCACAGTAATTACCCCATGTGTGATGTGTGAGTGATTACCGTAAGGAGTGTGGTTATTACTGTTTGTACCACAGTAATTACCCTATGTGTGATAGTGATTACTGGAAGAAGTATGGTTATTACTGTTTGTACCACAGTAATTACCCTATGTGTGACAGTGATTATCGGAAGTAGTATGGTTATTACTGTTTGTACCACAGTAATTACCCTATGTGTGACAGTGATTACCGGAAGGAGTATGGTTATTACTGTTTGTACCACAGTAATTACCCTATGTGTGACAGTGATTATCGGAAGGAGTATGGTTATTACTGTTTGTACCACAGTAATTACCCTATGTGTGACAGTGATTACCGGAAGGAGTATGGTTATTACTGTTTGTACCACAGTAATTACCCTATGTGTGACAGTGATTATCGGAAGGAGTGTGGTTATTACTGTTTGTACCACAGTAATTACCCTATGTGTGACAGTGATTATCGGAAGGAGTATGGTTAGTACTGTTTGTACCACAGTAATTACCCTATGTGTGACAGTGATTATCGGAAGGAGTGTGGTTATTACTGTTTGTACCACAGTATTTACCTGATGTGTGACAGTGATTACCGGAAGGAGTATGGTTATTACTGTTTGTACCACAGTAATTACCCTATGTGTGAGAGTGATTATCGGAAGGAGTATGGTTATTACTGTTTGTACCACAGTATTTACCCTATGTGTGACAGTGATTACCGGAAGGAGTATGGTTATTACTGTTTGTACCACAGTAATTACCCTATGTGTGACAGTGATTATCGGAAGGAGTATGGTTATTACTGTTTGTACCACAGTATTTACCCTATGTGTGACAGTGATTACCGGAAGGAGTATGGTTATTACTGTTTGTACCACAGTAATTACCCTATGTGTGACAGTGATTATCGGAAGGAGTATGGTTATTACTGTTTGTACCACAGTAATTACCCTATGTGTGAGAGTGATTATCGGAAGGAGTATCGTTATTACTGTTTGTACCACAGTAATTACCCTATGTGTGACAGTGATTATCGGAAGGAGTATGGTTATTACTGTTTGTACCACAGTCTTATCGGAAGGAATGAGACATCATGGTTAGTGCTGTTTGTACCACAGCTATTACTCTGTGTGACAGTGATTATCGGAATGATTAAGGCATCGTGGTTATTGCTGTTAGTTATAATGACTATCGCGAGGTACCACAGTAATTACCCTAAGTGTGACAGTGATTATCCAAGAGAGCGGCTGGTGTCATATGTGTAGGATCGAGCCATGGCCTCGGTCCAGAACAAGCTGAGTTGCGGTATATAAATATAGATATATACAGACACACTCTCAACCTGTATAATATCTTAATTTATGTGTTTACTTCCTACTTGACCTACTGACTGTACTGAAGTCCACACTCAACCAGTGAAACGGACACCGTCTGCCGCGTTACTAACATACATTGATCGTTGTCAAAAACAGCTCCACTTCACTGCTGTGACGCCACCAAACAGTGGATGGTATTATTTGCTGCAAATAGTGTTGCATTCACTAGTGTTCAAACATGAGAACAGAACGTTTAAGCACTCCTGACATATCTCACGATTGAATAAGCTCCGATCTTAACCCTTTGGAACATATCTGGACATGATTGGACGTCGTGTGCAACAAAAGGATCCTGCTGTACAGAACCTGGTCCAATTGGAAGCTGCTTTACACGAAGAATGGCGTAGACTGCCTCTTCAGAGGATTAGGAGGCTGACAGAGGGTATGAAGAGAAGGGTGCTGGTTGTCATACAGTCACATGGACTTTCCATCGTGGTCACCACGAGAAGTTTATGTACGTGTTGAAAACCTATCAATGCAAAAATACAGGGGGCGCTTAATAAAGTACTTTGTGTACTTTGTGAATACTACATGTCAACGAAGGGAATTGCATCCTGTCATGATTTTTGTCACTGATGTGTCACATTTGGAAATGTCTTACACATGTCTTCTATCATAGAATGTTTGAAATTACAGATATTTGTTTTAACGGAGGCAGTGAATGTATCCTGTATCAAAAGTCGTCTAAGGCTCTTTGAAATATTCGTAGAAAAATAACACATATACATTTACACATTCATAATAATACATCACTGTACATCAATTGATGTCAGTAATAATTTAATTGTTAATTCTTCACACTTTTTCAAACTGCTGTAGCTGAAAGAGGACATTATCGCGTGAAGCTAGATGACCGTCTTTCGCCCGATTGTCCATTTATCGGTACAAAACGAAGACGTTCTGGCAATATCACTTGGTCTCTCAACAGTCAACAGTTTGGGGAACACATTGTATAGCGTTTTAATCACACGGAATTTCAATATTTTCAGCACTCGAAATAGGACAGTTATTATTTCATGGCGTTAGAATGTTGATTTGTTTCACACATGACAGAATATTCTGTCCACAGATGGGTAGTGGATACTGTTTCACACATGACAGAATATTCTGTCCACTTGTTTTTATCACAGCCATCTGTAAGTCATAGCAGGGATAATTTACAGTCTCCTATTATCCCTGGTCACACCCACGGCAGTCCAACACAATGACCAGCAATGGGCCATGAGAGGCAGAGCTGAAAGAACTAATTACTTGGAATTTGTGGTGCGGATCCACCATTCAAGATGATCCCAGTCCACACGGTGGAAGCGCTGTCCACGCGAAATGTGGAGTTGTCCCAAAAGCAACTCCATTTCCTCGCTGGACAGTGAAAGACGAACATGTGGCGCATGTGGCGCAAGAGTAATGGTAAGTTTTCCCGCGCATTTTCATTATTTTGCAAGTATATTAGGTTTTGCCATTTGGCAGAGGGGTCTAGAAATTTATAGATCTTTCTGTAATAGCTTGACACTCTCTCTATTTATTACAATTGTGCGTTAAACGAGGGCACCCTCCTGAGTGTCGAAACAATATCGCAGAAAATGATCGTTTCAACACGAAATATGACCACCTCATCGGCAGACACGCCTTTTTTTGCTGTCAATTCTTAGTTATAGTTAGTGTAAGTCTTCATTCACAGTTTAGGCTTAAATGCGTCAGTGTTTTTTCAGTTATCGTCGAAAAACCAAACTGTACGTTTTATATGGAGTTGCTCACATTTAGCGAACAAACTGTCCATTGCGTTGTGATTTTACTGTCCAGGATTTGACAGTTTGTAGTTTTCAACCGTCATGTCATCAAACGTTATTCTAGAGATATTTGTTGTAGACCTGCCTACCTGGCGTATTTTGGCGTATTTATTACGATTTTGTATGATCAAGTACGATTGTGCACCCATATTGCAGTTTGTTCGACAGGGATTTAATGTAAAAAAAACCCCAACATGTACGATCAGAACAAATATACATCTACCCCAGGAATAACCAAGTCCTGGGCCCCGTTTCACAAAGCTCTCGTAAACCTAAAATCTCGTAACGTGAGCTTTGTGAAACGGGGCCAAGGTTATTCCAAAGTAAGTACATTGTTCATACTATCATTCAGATATTAGCATTGCACATTCGGGTAAAGCACATCACTAAGCATCTGAAAACTAAGGGACATCTAACTAATGTTGACTGCGAAATCAAAGACAGTAATGACTTCTTTGTTCCAACCGTTGACACCAGCGATATGGACAAGTCAATGGCCGTTGTTAAAGCAGAAATCCAAATGCCAGACGAGCAGCAGCCAGACCAGTTACAACTCCCACAAAGGGCCAGGAGAGCTGCAGCCAGACCAGCTACAACTCCTACCACAAAGGGCCAGGAGAGCTGCAGCCAGACCAGCTACAACTCCTACCACAAAGGGCCAGGAGAGCTGCAGTCAGGCACTCCTGGGTGCGGCCATGGCTCATAGAGGAGAGGGGATAACAGTTTGGACAGTTCTCCAGCCTCCTAGACACGCAGACACTGGAGGATCCAGTAACGTTCCAAAACTACACAAGGTTAACGCCACAGCTCTTCGATGAAGCCCTGCAGATGGTGGCCCCAGCAATCGATAGGGAAGTCACCAATTGCAGGCAAACTCTTTCACCTGGACTGAAACTGACAGTCGCTCTTTGGCACCTTGAGGCTGGAGACAACTATCGGTCCCTTGCGTATGCCTTCAGGTGTGGAGTGTCCACCATCTTAGAGGTGGTTCCAGAATGCGAGGGAAAACTTACCATCACTCTTGCGCCACATACTCGTCTTTCACGGTCCAGCGAGGAAATGGAGTTGCTTTTGGGGCAACTCCACATTTCGCGTGGACAGCACTTCCACCCTGTGCAATCCAGCAAGTTGCTGAAGGTTAGAGTTGTGTGCCTGGTTCTGAATCATGTGTTACAGGCCAAGACAGCCTGAATACTGCTGAACAACCGCTATCATGTGTTACAGGCCGAGACAGCCCGAATACTGCTGAATAACCGCTATCATGTTACAGGCCGAGACAGCCCGAATACTGCTGAACAACCACTCATCAGGACTAGCATTTGAAGCCATACAGGATGTTAGAAGGCTCTTAGAGCATCAATGGGAGGAGGGTTTGCGATATAGTTGTACAAACCATCTATTATCTATCAATGTATCAGAGTTTCAATAAGTACCTTTTTTTGGTAAGATAGTAGTACACATAACTCCTTATCATACCAGTCAAAACACGAACTGTAAAATGCTAACATTTCCTATTCTTAAGCCTGTCCACAGACGATATAGTTCTAAGCAATATTTCCATCTTCAGTTATTTTGAAGTCCTTCACATACAACAAAGAAGACAAAATGCAATAAAAACGAAATTATTTTATTATTTTTTAAAGTAAAACGGACACACGATCCGCAGCAGAAGTTTCTTGTTAGAGCACTTCTTTCTTACCACAGACCAGTGATAAAGACAAACAGATGGTTCCCCTGACCTCTCCCCGGGTCAAGTCTGACCGCAGAGAGTGGGCACAGCCAGGGAAACCTATGGCTAATGTTTTCTTCACATCTAAGCCTTGAAAATGTAAAAGTAACATATAGGACCATTCCAGGTAGAGTGCAGCAGACCGCTGCCTCAATACAGAAGAGCTGATGGTTCACAAATACAGGCGACCAGCTCCAGGAGACTAACAAACAAATCAGCCTCACCTCTCTGATACTTAAATTATCACAGACAAACATTTTACTACTCACAAAAAAGCAGTTTAACAATATTAAAAAAGGTAAAAAACGCAACAATTACTTGGGAAAATATTCCCATCTAAAGCGTGCAGTCCTCTTCTGCTACAAGCACTGTGCTTGGACTGTTATGTGTCTGTTTATCTGTTTGTCCGTCCGGCGGCCATCTGCCTGTAAACTTGTACTTACTACACCGACCACAACACCTACAGCCACAGGAGCCGAGCTGAGGCCAAACAAGAAAATATGTATGTTCCCGGTAACCAGACCAAATAAACGTGTCACTTGCAGCCAGAACTTGTAATTAGTTGTCAAACAATTCAACTAAATTGTACTTAAGCTTATAGTTTTTTGAAGGAAACTCTCCTCAACTTTGTATCCCAATCAAGTTACCCGAAACACAAATATTTCTAAATTTTGCCCAAACACTTTCTTTAAAATTACTCCTGGTAAAATCGAACACAAAATAGGAAATTAACATTTATCCTATATGACAGAAACAAAACTAAATGTTTATCAACTGCTTTAAAAAGAATGTTTTCTATACATAAGTGACCAATGAAAGCAAGTGGGAGACTATACAAAGCTTGTGCAACACAGCACGACCTGTAGCTATTGTCAGTCACAAACTGAAGCAACCTGTGATCTACGTGCCCGAGCTGGGTCCTACTGATATGTAACACAATGCCGCACCAGGCATCACTATCTAGGTCTCTAGCAATAACAAAGTATTCATCAGTGTCAGTAAAATAGCATCACATTAAAACTAACCACTTCTCAACTTGAAGAACAGTATACATGCCGTTAAAGAAGCAGGACACATCAACTGTCATGGTATTACAATGTATCCATGGACGAAGGATATACCCTGCTGGTTTAACAAGGTAACTTGAGTATCAGAGAGGCTACAACGTACACACAACAACAGGGACGTGTATGGGTTGGAGCTCACACTGCCAGCTGCACTCATTTTTCGAAAGAGAGCTGTATTCACGTCTAAATAGGCCTGCATACAAGGTTCTAGAAACAGGCCATAGAATAATCTTTTTTAAAGCATAATGTACACTTTTATAGTCAAATACGAACACTTGAACCAGTTTTGACTTGAACATTTTGAAAATTCCAATTTTTGAGAATATGAAATGCTTTGATGCAACAAAATTGATAAAATTATGGATGCTACAAACAAGGGCTTCTGTCCCTGCATCAGCTGTTCCTCAGTGGAGCTCCGAACGTACACAGTCACGTCAATAATCAAGTCTTGTCTCCTCCTCCACACCGACAGGCAGACAGGAGATGGCAGCCACTGTGTAAGTATATTCCAATTTCACAGCTTTAAACACTTGATGTGATTGTATAAACAGTGTGATTAATGGTTACCACACAGAACATACTGCTCTTGGTACAACCTGCCACTGTCTGGTGAGGGGGATGTATGTTAAGGTCAAGGAGGCTCCGTCATCAACTCATACAAGATGAGGACAACCAGGGGAGGCAACTCCAGAATCAGGTGATTGTCACAGTTGTGGTGAGTCTACAAGTCTCATTACTTGTTGTCATACATAGTGAGGGGGTTGTCACGATCCAGGGCCACAGTTGGGAGCCTCAATGGATATAGTATAGGTTGTAACTCCAGCTGGAGCTTCACACATGTCTCATACAGACTGCACATTGGGTGGCCTTGATCAGTGGGATGACAGTGACCCTTGTGGGTAATCTTACCGACACATTACACTTACAGGAAATGTTTACCTGCAACATCATCTGAACAGAGTTCACAGCCAAGTTGAACAATTTATAAATATTCTGTGAAAAACCATAAGGATTTCAGTGTTGCACATGTCAGTATTCAGATCATGTACACCACTAGATCAAGGCCACTTGACACAGTGTCTCTCACACACTGACCAGCTCTGTAAAATATTACACTTCATACATTATAACATAATTGTAGCAAATAAACAATTTGCTTAGCCATTACACATTGATCATTTTTAGACAGCAGTTCAAAATTATGACACTGATTGGACATCTTAGTTTCTGTGTGTGTGTGTGTGTGTGTGTGCATGCCTGTGTGCACATGCATGTTTCTAGTATGTCGACAGTGTGCATGTGTGAATGTCTGTCCCAAAATGTAGTCAATCAGCTTACAGCCAATGTTTTGAACTGCTCCCTAAACCAGAATCTAACCACAAGATGGCTGCTCATTCACTTGTGAACACATCTCATCGGAACTGCAAGTGAAAGGATGTCCAAATGTTTGAGCAGCATGATAAAAAAAATGCAATATGCCTCTCAAATCCATAACATATTAAATGTTTTGATCATCAGGACAACTCAACATCCTATGAACATATCCTCCACTGATGCCAACATAGAGTGACCTCCCATACAATTATATACATATACAAATAGTACTAGTATCACTAGTTATCAATATACACACAATATCTGGAGAAAATCTAACACATGCAATATCTGGAGAAAATCTAACATTGACAAGACTATGAGGGACCTGTAATAATGACTTTACTGCTGCTACTGGTTGGATAGTTCTGCGTATAAAATCATACATGAAATAATTTTTGAGAGTGACATCATACCTTCTGTTCATGCCTAACTCGACTCTCAAACCAAAATAATAGAGCTTCGCACAGTTAAGCCAATGAAGAAACGGCTGTACAGAGTAAACTGGCATAATCAAACTATGAAAGAAACTATGTACAAGTAGAGCACATGAAGAAAACTAACTTGTCCTAAACACTGAAACATAGGTGATCATGTGAGTAGTTCAACTGAAGTTCTAGGTGGGTTTTACAGGAGGTATGTAACACACAACACGAACCTGCAGGTGGAAGAATAACACGTGATAAGAAGCCAACAAAACACTTTCTACAAACAAACCAAAGACGTAGTAGGATGCTAGTTCTCCTAACGGCTACAACAAAGGGAGCTAACTCTAGGGGGTGAACTTCACATCACGCTCTGTGGTGAGACTACTATAACGTCCTACTCTCACTAATTTAGCTTTAGAACATTGTGTTAGAAATATGACTATAGTCTATATGGCTTAAACTAAACTTCATGACAAGTACAGAAAATTTATCTCATTTCCATCTGTGATATTTTAACTAAAGTTCACAAATTTGAAATCACTTCCATAAGGTAAACCTTAACAGAAATATGGAACACCAGAAACCTGGTAATGGATCTACATGTAAGTTTGGACAACTACTCAGGGATAAAGTGAGTGGTTTCAGCAACAGTGCAGAGAACAAAAGGAGCAGTGTAACACAGTGAAGCTGTGTGAGCTGTAAGGGGAGGTCACTCTAAGTGGTATAATAGTTTAATTGTCAGTGTTCTTGGGGTTGTCTCCCTCTGGGGGGAAGGAACTGGCCCCATCCTGTGCTGGCTGTGTTGGCTGTGGTGGCCTTGGGGCTCCAGATGGCCATGTCCACAGTGGGGCTGAACGGACTGAACGTTCCCGGCGTTGGTGATCTAAACAACAAGGTGCATTAGTGTATTGTGTATGTGCTGGAGTTCAGGCTTGCAGCATTCACTGAGGAATCACTTCTTCAGTCAGCATACAGTATGTAAGACACTTGAAATGTTTTGAATAAAATCATATAGATGGAGAAACTAAATTGAATTAGTCATATTTTGATGTTCACTATATGTCAAACACAATGTTCAATTATCATGTAAGACAATGGTATAGGGATCTAAACTGAAATGTTAATAATCAAATACAGAACTACTCATCCATAAAGTATCTTGCCTGACCGAGTCTGGTATTAGCTGTTGGTTGGAGGGGGTGTGGGTTGACAGTCTTACCTGTGGGCTGTTGGGTGGAGAGGGTGTGGGTTGACAGTCCTACCTGTGGGCTGTTGGTTGGAGGGGGTGTGGGTTGACATTCTTACCTGTGGGCTGTTGGGTGGAGGGGGTGTGGGTTGACATTCTTACCTGTGGGCTGGAGTTTCCGGAGTATGTTGGTTCTGGGTACACCACCTCATTCTCCATGGTAGACGGAGAGGATGTGCTCGGGTTGTTCGACCAGATGGAGGTCAGGTTGTTCCAGCCGCTGGTGGCTGAACTTGTCAACGCATTCCAGAAACCGCCCGCCTGAAACAGCAGGAGTGATGATCATATCAGTACACTAGCTGATCTGGTGTAGTGTCTGCATAGTACTTTCATTGGCACTGGGAGAGGGGTGTCCTAATACTTTCATTGGCACTGGGAGAGGGGTGTCCTAATACTTTCATTGGCAATGGGAGAGGGGTGTCCTAATACTTTCATTGGCACTGGGAGAGGGGTGTCCTAATACTTTCATTGGCACTGGGAGAGGGGTGTCCTAAATACTTTCATTGGCACTGGGATAGGGGTGTCCTAATACTTTCATTGGCACTGGGAGAGGGGTGTCCTAAATACTTTCATTGGCACTGGGAGAGGGGTGTCCTAATACTTTCATTGGCACTGGGCAGGGTGTCCTAATACTTTCATTGGCACTGTGTGTGTGTGTGTCCTAGATGCGCGCATTGGCACTGCGTCGTGTGTGCGTGCGCAAGGCGTCGCGTGTGTCCCCTAGTACTTACACTGTCTAGTCTAGTCTACACTGACAGATATAATAAACTGTTGTTTCTTTTGGTTGAAATGCGAATAATGGAGGGCAGTTGTATCTAATGAAAACTAGTGGTCTCTGTTAGCTTGTTATTAGTGAAGATTACTGTACTTACATTGGCACTGGGTGGTGAGTCTGTGGCCACAGACCAGGCGTTCTCCAGTGGGTTGTACTCAGAGTCCCACAGGCTGTCACTTCTGACAGGGGGAACGTCAAAGCCAGGCCAATCTTCACCTACATCACACAGGAAGATTGACATGAGTCAGGTATAACTGTTTCTCAACACAGCCTAAACACGTGAGAGGTTTCACAGAGATACAGGTAAACAGCTAATCTGTAAGACACATACCCTTGTTTAGCATCTTGAGCTGGTGTTCCCTGTAGCGGCGACGGCGTTCGGCCATGAGCTGCTGCATCATTGATGGCTGCTTGGGAATCTGCTCCATCGGGTTGGTGTAGCCTGCAACAGCACAACACATCTCATCAACAAACCTGCTCACACATACCCTGCACTGTATGTCATTCTTCTCTCAAGTAGATAATGGAGATCGGCAAGCTTGTTGACAAGACTGCTACTTAAGCCGAGCCTAGTTTATATTTGTTTTAGTCGTTTAAGTCCTGTCTGGTTGTTGTATTTCTATTACAGCACATTGATGTCTCATGATGTCTCCTGGTGGCAGTCATACCATTGCCTGTGAAGCCGTACTCCTGCTGACCAAATGAATCAATGCTGGCCGTTTGGGATGTGAAGGGTGCAGAAGAGTTCTCCTCAATGGTCGTCAGTCCAAAGCTGCCACTGCAACACAGGGACAGCATCAGTTGCTATGGCAACACATCACACATCAAGGGGAGGGCATTAGTTACTATGACAACACACCATGAATCATGTGACCACAAGCTTTACTTTACTCAGACTAGAAGGGTTGACTATGGAGTACATAAATACACTATTGCTATGTTGGAGTAAATGAGTGAGTGAGTTTAGTTTTACGCCGCACTGCCATGTTGGAAATATACAAGGAGCTATCAAAGAGTTCTGAGCCTAAAATAGAGCGATTGACAGCAGTGGTGGCCCTCGAGGGCCAAACCCTTTATGACTGCTCTGTACTCGAGCTTATCCAATTCTGCCGTATCAATAGGGGTACATGTCACATGACCTGACACTAGTGAAATATGCATTTCAATATTACGTTTATGTGAATGATATAAACCATTCTTCAATAGTCTTCAATCATAGTCATTTTTATGATGAACATATCAAAAGTATTTTAGGCTCAAAACGTTTTGATAGCCCCCTCGTATATGTTTGACCGTAGGACTTACATGGAGTCTGGGGATGGTGGTCCTCCGCTCCACGGGTTCCGGGTCTTGTTTGTTGGAGACTTGGAAGCTCCATTCTTGATCCCTATAGGTCCTGAAAGAGTCAAAATCGTGTCCGTCAACTTCAACACTAACATTCAAGACGTGTCTTACAACCAGGAGTCCAGAAGGAATTGACCCCTGGCATCTCACACACTACAGATCAACTTACAATCTCAGCCGAGTTAGAAAATACATGAATACTATGTAGAGAAAAACAGCGTCAGTCTGGCAGTGAGACATCCTGGACATTGAAGCATGGGTGTATGAAAGGTGCATACCTGGGAGACCATTCTCACCAAAAGGAGAGAAGCCGGTAGCTCGCTTGTCTCCAGCTGTGGATTGTTTGCCCTTGGCCTTGTTGGTGTTGGAGTCACTGCTGCTGTTGCTGACAATGCTGCTGTAGCTGCTGGAGCGGCTGGAGCTGGTGAGGGCCTCGGGGGAGAAGCCGTTCAGTTGGCTGTTGGTGCCACCATTACTGGCGCTACCGTTACTGCCCAGGCCCTTGATGTGCTTCTGGGCAAAGTTCTCGGTCTGTATGGACAGCTCAGTGAGGTCACCTACATAATACCAGGAAATGTGTTACCATGGCTACTGGTACCATTTTGCACTTCATAAAGAAAAACAAACCTCAACATAGAGGAAGGATAGAAAGTAGTAACAAAATGTTTCACTTAATGCCAATAATAGGATACTGGTGATTCAGACAAAACAATCTGCATACTATATTTACAACATACACAACTGTGTGAGTGTCACTGAGAGGGACAGTACAGTGATTGTGGGAAACATAGAACACTGACATGACAGGTACAGGCCTGTCGTCACTACAGTGAGACTGTCAGCCACAACAGACAGGTGGAACAATATCAACTGGGGGTGTTAGTACAGTTAGTGATGAACAATGTTGATGTGATGTACAGTTGTGCTCTGATTCGTCACCCCAATCACAGCTTTACGGTCACAAGTGTGTGTGTGTGTGTGTGTGTGTGTGTGTGTGTGTGTGTGTGTGTGTGTGTGTGTGTGTGTGTGTGTGTGTGTGTGTGTGTGTGTGTGTGTGTGTGTGTGTGTTTGTTGTAGGATTGTAGGAATGGTGTGTGGGTTGGCGGTAGGATGGTTGTAGGCATGGGGTGGGGGGTAGGATGGTTGTAGGCATGGTGTGTGGGGTGGTAGGATGGTTGTAGGCATGGTGTGTGGGGTGGTAGGATGGTTGTAGGCATGGGATGGGTGGTAGGATGGCTGTAGGCATGGTGAGTGGGTAGGTGGTAGGTTGGTTGTAGGCATGGTACGTGGGTGGTAGGATGGTTGTAGGCATGGTGAGTGGATAGGTGGTAGGATGGATGTAGGCATGGTGTGTGGGTGGGTGGAGGATGGTTGTAGGCATGGTGGGTGGATAGGTGGTAGGATGGTTGTAGGCATGGTGTGTGGGGTGGTAGGATGGCTGTAGGCATGGTGAGTGGGTAGGGGTAGGCTGTTTGTAGGCATGGTGAGTGGATAGGTGGTAGGATGGTTGTAGGCATGGTGAGAGTGGGTAGGTGGTAGGATGGTTGTAAGGCATGGTGTGTGTGGGTTGTAGGAGAAGGTTGTTGGCATGGTGAGTGGATAGGTGGTAGGATGGTTGTAGGCATGGTGTGTGGGTGGTAGGATGGTTGTAGGCATGGTGAGTGGATAGGTGGTAGGATGGTTGTAGGCATGGTGAGTGGATAGTTGGTATGATGGTTGTAGGCATGGTGAGTGGTGGTATGATGGTTGTTGGCATGGTGAGTGGGTAGGTGGTAGGCTGTTTGTAGGCATGGTGAGTGGATAGTTGGTATGATGGTTGCAGGCATGGTGAGTGGTGGTATGATGGTTATAGGCATTGTGAGTGGATAGTTGGTAGGATGGCTGTAGGCATGGTGAGTGGATAGTTGGTAGGATGGCTGTAGGCATGGTGAGTGGATAGTTGGTAGGATGGTTGTAGGCATAGTAAATGGATAAGTGGTAGGATGGTTGTAGGCATGGTGAGTGGGTAGGTGGTAGGATGGTTGTAGGCATGGTGTGTGGGTGGTAGGATAGTTGTAGGCATGCGGTGGGTAGATGGTAGGATGGTTGTAGGGATGGTGAGTGGTGGTTTGATGGTTGTAGTAGCATGGTGAGTGGATGGCTAGTAGGATGGTTGTAGGCATGAGTGAGTGAGTGTAGTATGATAAGTTATAGAGCATGGTGAAGTGGATATAGGTAGTAGGATGGTTGTAAGGCATGGTGAGAATGGACGGATAACACGACGGACGACACACGCCCGATACCACCAGACCCACATCACGACACGACACGACCACAGGCACGACACGGCACGACGACACAGAACACACGGTACGACGAGGCACGACACGACGACACACGGACGGCACGGTACGACGACAGCTGGTACGACAGGCAGGCACAGACGACACAGACACAGGCCAGGCACGACGAACACGACACAGCCAGGCACGGCGGACGGCCACAGCACGGCACGACGGCCAGGCACGACGGACACAGGCACGGCGGACACACGGCACGGAACGGACAAGGCACGGCCAGGCACGAACAGCACGGAACACGAACAGGCACGGCACACACTGACGGCACGGCACGACCACAGCACAGGACGACAGGCACAGGACACAGCGCACAACGCAATGACACAGGCACAGGACCACAGGACACAGACACAGGCACAGACACACACGACACACCAGTGGACAGACACGGACGATCCGGACACAGTGAGCTTCTGGAATCTATTCCCTGGAGCATTATTCTGAATGTATTTGGAGCATGTCTACAAAGTGTAGTTATCTAACCAGGAGTCAGTGTGGCACTGGGGAAGTCCCACGACGGAGGCGCTGGGAAATCTTTGTCGGGGTCACTGCTGTCGCTGGCCGTTGTGTGCAACAAAGTGTCACCTAGGTAACAACATAGCAACCAATCAACATGCAGAGCTTTACACAAAACTAGATGGGTATAAAGCATGCACAACACAGAGCAAATAAATGTAACAACACAAACTGTCAACATTTGGCATCAGTTAGCCACTACATTAACAAGGTCAAGGTTGTTATTCTATGAATTGGTAAGTCCACATGAACAATATTCGAGCCGTTTCACAACAGGGAGGGCAAGACAAACCAAATGAAAGGGGTCCACAATATTCAGACAAACAACACTTGACTTTTCATGCTCAATATTGGAAAATCTGGTTATTTAAGCAATTATGGAAAACCAATGAAGGGAATGAATGTAAATGTACATTTTGAAGGAAAAGAAGAAAGTGTTTGGTTGAAGTTGTTCCCGCCCTGAAAAGACCGGAATACAGTTGACCTTAGCAGCTACATGTGTCACTACCAGCTACCTGCTACAACTCAGTACTAGACATATAGAAAGCTGGGACTACACATGCACAGGGGGTGGACATGGTACTGTCTGCTCAGATATAAACCCCTAAACAGTAGATGTACATGTGCATCACCGAGACAGTAGGCAAACATGTGAATCACCTGGACAGTAGGCAAACATGTGAATCACCTGGACAGTAGGCAATAGTATGTGTATCACCTAGACAGTAGGCAAACACGTGAATCACCTGGACAGTAGGCAAACATGTGAATCACCTGGACAGTAGGCAATAGTGTGTGTATCACCTAGACAGTAGGCAATAGTGTGTGTATCACCTAGACAGTAGGCAAACATGTGAATCACCTGGACAGTAGGCAATAGTGTGTATCATGGAGACAGTAGACAATAGTGTGCATCACCTAGAGAGTAGACAATAGTGTGCATCACCTAGAGAGTAGACAATAGTGTGTATCACTAGACAGTAGACAATAGTGTGCATCACTAGACAGTAGACAATAGTGTGTATCACTTAGACAGTAGACAATAGTGTGCATCACCTAGACAGTAGACAAAAGTGTGTATTACGGAGACAGTAGACAATAGTGTGCATCACCTAGAGAGTAGACAATAGTGTGTATCACTAGACAGAAGACAATAGTGTGTATCACGGAGACAGTAGACAAAAGTGTGTATCACTAGACAGTAGACAATAGTGTGTATCACCTAGAAAGTAGACAATAGTGTGTATATCAGGCAGACTGCAGTCCTGACCTAGACATTTTTGGGGCATTATGGAGATATTTCACAGTAACATGGGAATGCTGGAGTTAAAGTACCTAAGACAATAACTCATAATATGTAAGTTTAGTTGGGTTGCTTCTAATTGAGTGGGAGTTTAACAGTTTAGACCGTATTGGAGAGGCTGAACCCACACACATTGTAGCACATACATTGCATTTGTCTAGATGATGCTATACACAGATAATGGAATAATGGTAAAGATCCACAACGTGGCATGCATCACAAGTGAAATACACTGTGTTTCCAATCTATCACCCCAGTCATTTCCCACATAAACGCTCAGTCACTTCACTTGCCACATAAAGGCCCACTCACTTGTTCCCACATAAAGGCCCAGTCACTTCACTTCCCACATAAGGGCCTAGTCAATACACTTCCCACATAAAGGCCCAGTCACTTGTTCCCATATAAAGGCCCAGTCACTTCACTTCCCACATAAGGGCCCAGTCACTTCACTTCCCACATAAAGGCCTAGACAATTCCCTTTACACATAAAGGCCCAGTCATTTCCCACATAAAGGCCCAGTCACTTCACTTCCCATTGAATACACGTTGTCCTCCCAACCCAGTTTGTTCCCAGTACTGCAGCAGCAGGTGAGAGAACAAGCTGACAACAACGACAGTGTTAGTGAGATGACAACACAGTGCCTACCCTTGGAGTTGCTTCGTGTGGTCTTGGATGGACGCTTGTTCTTACTGGCTGAGTCAGCTGATGCAGTCGAGTCCTTGGTCTTGCGTGTCTCCAGACTGTAGGGTAGCTCCAGGGTGCTGTGGGAAGACAGAGAGGGAGACATTGTACTTTCCAGGTTGAATGCTGAGACTTTCTGTAAAATGGAGTCTTAACATGGAGAGTTAAAGGAAGAACAGGTTTCACACACACCACAGCCTCTAAGCTAAACCACCAGGCAACACACCTAGGATCCACATCACCATGCTTCACCACAAGGTCAAACCACTCAGATAATGTTGGCTACAGTTCTCATGTATCAAATCAGCAATTTCCAAGTTACCTTGGTCTCAGGATGTTTCCCCCAAACGTCTCTTTGGGGTTGACGCGAATCTTCCGATGGCCTCTTGATTTGGAGGTCAACTCAAACTCTTCCTCATCATTGTAGTCATCGTCAAGGATGGCAGGAACTGCCCGGTCCATGGGGCGGAGTTTGGTCTTGGATCTCTTTACTAGCGGTACTAGGGGCTCGGGAGTAGAGTCTCGAGCACTGGAATTCTAGAAATAAGACAAGGAATACCATCAAAATGATAAATCATAATAAATCGAAGGGTTATAATAATATTAGCTGGACTAAGATCACCGTTCCTGTGGCGTTCTAGTATGCCAGTTTTCCATGATGGTATACTACCATAACATGTCTGGAAATCTCCAGCTATAACAGCTATGGATTGTTTTGTGAAAACTGGGTCTAGGACTCAGTGAATGTGAGTAACACACTTTGGACCATCTTATGTCCAGGAAACGTTTTCATAACATCAGGCTTTGACATGTAATTATATGTTATCACTATTGGTAAACATTACTGGGCAATTACTAATTTACGCGGTGTTACCAATGTGAATATAACTTATGAGTTACTATTACATGGCAATGCAGATCTGACTGTTCACATAAATCAAAACATGTTTAAAATTGTTCAAACATATATTTGTCAATCAAAAACGATTTTCTTAATTGTTGCAATTGTTCCCCTCTTTCTGTTCTTCTCTGTCCATCTTGTAGAATTAATGTAAATAATACTATGTAAATCCTACGGAGAGGGTGTTCTAAGTTGTATAACCTGTACCCAATCCTTTTCTCATGAATAAAATATGTTATAAAAACAAACAAACAAACAAACTGGTCAAAATCTACAGTTACAGCTAAAGGTAAACTGACGGACAGGAGAAATTCACGCTTTTCAGACAGAAAATCCTTGTAGACTAGCAGTATGTGGGCCAGAAAACATTTTTAATACTTGTGCATGATGGAAGTGTTCCTACCTTCTCCTCAACATCTCCAGCAGAGGAGTCAGTGGTGGTGGAGGAGATCTCATCCCGGTCGTCTGTCAGGGAGTTCTCATGCTGGGGCAGCAGGACTTTGTCCTTCAAAAGGTCCCGCTCCAGGCGAGTCCTGTTCTTCTTCTTGTTCTTCATCTTACCCAGCTTCAACTGGCTCACCTCTTCCTTTATCTCTGTGATGTCATCAACAGCACGTTCCCCTTGGTCAGTGCTGGACGACCGTTCCCATCGGTATGGCCCCTGGCGTATCTCCGCACTCGGGGGGTCATTAAGGTCCATTTCGGTACGTTTCTGTTCTGGAATGGTCATATCTTTATTACGGTCTCCGGATCTAGTCGGCAGGTGCCCATCAGCCGAGTTCGAATCCTGATTCCGTCTGGATGTGGATCTGGATTTTTTCATTCTGTGTGGTGGTATGGATTTCTCTGTGGCCACAGTTTCCTGTGGTGGGGGTGGGGTTGGGGTTGGGGTGGGTGCTGGTGTTGGTTTGTCTTTATCAATGGTCTGTGGCTTTGCACTGGTAATTACAGACACAGACTTTGCTTCACGCTCACGGGAACTCTGTCTCTCAACATGAGATCGCCGTGAAAAGAGTGATATTTTTCGTGGAATGAGATTTCTGAGAACACTGAGAATGCTGCCGATGAAAGGTTCTCTACGTGCCTGCTTGTACTCCAAGTGGCCGTTGATCTCGATCATCTGCCTTCCTCTCATGTCTGCTGTTAAGTGAGGTGGGGGGAGGCTTGGGAGAGATGGACAAGCCCGCTACATTACGTAAATCAAAAACCTTCCCTTTGTCGAACGACTGCGCTGTGTTGACTCGGAGCTTACGTTTGAGTATGTCTGCCACGATGATTCGATCTGCTTCAAAGTATGCTGCCACAAGGATGCAGAAGAGGAGAAAGTTCATGACGCACACGATGGAGTAATACAGCACGGGTTCCCAGTTGGGCCGGGGCAGTGCTGCGGAGCACTTGGACAGGAGGTGGGGGGGAACTGTTGCCTGTAGCGTGTAGTTGGCTGGCGGACCTAAACTTGTGTGAACTGTCAGGGACCTCCGGAGATTCTTGACATGGTAAAATCTGGGGTGAAGCTGCAAATAACCAACAAAACCAGTGAGAAAATTATTTGTCAATTCTGTTTGTCCTTTATTTACATTGACACTGTAATTAGACATGTCTGAGGCCAAAAGATAGGAACAGACTCTTCCACTCTCATGATTCAAGAGGTGAAACTTTAACACAATTACCTGCAGGAACCTCATCAAGTCTTGTGATTGAGGGAACAAGTGAGTGATTTACTACAATAACACATAGCCAAAAGTGATACCCATCTTACATGTGTAGTATTTGTTTAAAGCCAAGAGCAGGGGTGTGGTGTTGACAAAGCAAGGTCACTGGGAATCTTTCACACCTCATTGAACAGTGCTCATACTGCCCAATACCAGAAAGATTGACACTGGTGGCCTGATGATGACACCAGCTCTACACAGGATCTTCAGCATGTAGATGTACTTACGCAATATCTATTTTTCTGCTTGTATTTGGTGGCATTTCAAATCCTTCACAGTCTAAAATTTTGAAACCATAGCCTTCACAGGGTGAGTCATTGATGCTGAATCCCTGGACGTAGAACGGTAGTTCCCCCGTGTTCCGCAGTGTGAATGTCCTCCTCACGGTAAAATGTGGCACCATGCTCTTGCTGGGCTTTTTCTCTGAAACTGCAGTAACCATGGTAACACTTTAATGAATGTAGTTGATAAGCCATTAGAAAGCAACGAAATCCTGGCACCACACATTCAACTAAAGAACAATAATATTTAAAAAAACAACATAGTTTACCATAGTTTTCTGAAGAACAAACATTCCAGTACAACTGTTGTCTACACTGCTTATTCTTGTAGAGGATCACACTTACTATCACAGTTTTTCAAATGTTTTTCGTTCATGTCGAACATGAGGGGTGAATGTGAGCCCGGCTTCCTGTTGCTGAACCGCATCTCCCCGCGACACCCCTGGCCCTGCACCACCACAGTGTCAATGATGGTCAGGTTGTTTCTGTAACACAATGTAGGACACAACTCAACACAATGTACGTGTATCAGTGACTCAACACAACATAATATATTCTAATAAGCTAATCATGTGGATGATTTTAAGTATCTAGCCTGTGTTTAGAGAAACCTATCTGAATCCTGTTTAAAAAAACCTGAAAGAAACATGCAGTTCTGAATGGAAAACAAAAGCAGTAACTCTGTACTGTGGATATTTTACAGACTCTTGTTTTACGTCAATTTCTGTCAGGTGTTGCTCCATGTGATGTGTCCGATAGCAAACTTGAGTAAAACTGCCTATAAAGATGAATGTTGATTGCGGAGCTGAGGCTGGATGATGACCAATACTGGCATCTAGTGTGTCCCATGAACAGTACTTACCTTATTAGTATAATGGATGTTCTGGAGTAGTCGTCCTTGGGCTGGAAGCCCACCCTGACCTTCAATTTGGCCCCCGGTTGTAGTACAGAGGCTATGGAGTGTTTGTGTGCCTTCACGCCCAGCAAGTTCTCAACAGACTTGCGTAGTCCAGGGATTGGATTCTGAGCATTGTCCTGAAAACACAACATGCCTCACAGTTGCAGAACAGTGTAAGAGACATAGAGCAATGTCCAACCTACTAGTACAAAGTGATGGGTTCAAGGTCTCATCAAAACAATTACTTAACAACAAAGGAAGTAAAACAGGCGACTGAAGTCTGTAAAATCATTTTGTAACCATGTACAGACACCACTCAGTTCTGTTAACAATATTTCGGGCGACGTGTCACAGGCTTGATCCTGTAGAAATGCTTTATTTTCTGAGTCAACTTGTGTGGTTGAGGATCCACACTTGTGCTTTTATACAAAATGAAGAGGTATCATTAGGCCTGCTATCACGATGACAAGCTGATTCATTTATGTCAGGTATTATGACATACATGTTACCCGAGTCTTGCAATCCCCCTAGGTGTATATACGAAGAATGTATCTTGGTGCATGTATAGTGAAGCACTTATAGACTCATATATTGTGAGGCAGCACTGTGAGACAAATATTGTGAAGAATGATGTATTGTCAAGCATGTATTGTGAAGAATGATGCATTGTCAAGCTTGTATTGTGAAGAAGGATGTATTGTCAAGCATGTATTGTGAAGAATGATGCATTGTCAAGCATGTATTGTGAAGAATGATGTATTGTCAAGCATGTATTGTGAAGAATGATGCATTGTCAAGCATGTATTGTGAAGAATGATGTATTGTCAAGCATGTATTGTGAAGAATGATGTATTGTCAAGCATGTATTGTGAAGAATGATGTATTGTCAAGCATGTATTGTGAAGAATGATGTATTGTCAAGCATGTATTGTGAAGAATGATGTATTGTCAAGCATGTATTGTGAAGAATGTACTGTGAAGGATGTATACTGAAGAAGCATGTAGCATGTACTGGAAGCAAGTATGAAGTATGGATTGTGAAGGATGTACTGTGAAGCACATATTGTGAAGGATGTACTGTGAAGCATGTATACTGAAGCATGTATTGTGAAGCATGTATACTGAAGCACATATTGTGAAGCATGTATTGTGAAGCATGTATACTGAAGCACATATTGTGAAGCATGTATTGAGAAGGATGTATACTGAAGCACATATTGTGAAGCATGTATTGTGAAGGATGTATACTGAAGCACATATTGTGAAGCATGTATATTGTGAAGGATGTATTGTGAAGCATGTATTGTGAAGCATGTATACAGCACATACACATGCACATGTGTGAAGCACATATTGTGAAGGATGTATTGTGAACACAGCATGTATTGTGAAGCATGTATTGTGAAGCACATATTGTGAAGCACATATTGTGAAGCATGTATTGTGATGCACATATTGTGAAGCATGTATTGTGAAGACATATATGTGAAGCATGTATTGTGAAGCATGTATGTGAAGCAGGATGTACTGTGAAGCATGTATTGTGAAGGATGTATTGTGAAGCACATATTGTGAAGCATGTATTGTGAAGCATGTATTGTGAAGCACAGAAGCATGTACTGTGAAGCATGTACTGTGAAGCACATATTGTGAAAGCACATATTGTGAAGCATGTATTGTGAAGGATGTATTGTGAAGCACATATTGTGAAGCATGTACTGTGAAGCATGTATTGTGAAGCACATACTGTGAAGCATGTATTGTGAAGGATGTACTGTGAAGCACATACTGTGAAGCATGTATTGTGAAGCACATATTGTGAAGCATGTATTGTGAAGGATGTATTGTGAAGCACATATTGTGAAGCATGTACTGTGAAGCATGTATTGTGAAGCACATACTGTGAAGCACATATTGTGAAGGATGTATACTGAAGCATGTATTGTGAAGCATGTATACTGAAGCACATATTGTGAAGCATGTATTGTGAAGCACATATTGTGAAGGATGTATTGTGAAGGATGTACTGTGAAGCACATATTGTGAAGCATGTATACTGAAGCACATATTGTGAAGCATGTATTGTGAAGGATGTATTGTGATGCACATATTGTGAAGCATGTATTGTGAAGCATGTATTGTGAAGCACATACTGTGAAGCATGTATTGTGAAGCACATATTGTGAAGCATGTATTGTGAAGCATGTATTGTGAAGCATGTACTGTGAAGCATGTATTGTCAAGCACATACTGTCAAGCACATATTGTGAAGGATGTATTGTGAAGCACATACTGTGAAGCACATATTGTGAAGGATGTATTGTGAAGCATGTATTGTGAAGGATGTATTGTGAAGCACATATTGTGAAGGATGTATACTGAAGCATGTATTGTGAAGCACATATTGTGAAGGATGTATACTGAAGCATGTATTGTGAAGCACATACTGTGAAGCATGTATTGTGAAGCACATACTGTGAAGCACATATTGTGAAGGATGTATTGTGAAGGATGTATTGTGAAGCACATATTGTGAAGCACATATTGTGAAGCATGTATTGTGAAGCATGTATTGTGAAGGATGTATTGTGAAGCACATACTGTGAAGCACATATTGTGAAGCATGTATTGTGAAGGATGTATTGTGAAGCACATACTGTGAAGCATGTATTGTGAAGGATGTATTGTGAAGCACATACTGTGAAGCACATATTGTGAAGGATGTATTGTGAAGCATGTTTTGTGAAGGATGTATTGTGAAGCACATACTGTGAAGCATGTATTGTGAAGCATGTATTGTGAAGCACATATTGTGAAGCATGTATTGTGAAGGATGTATTGTGAATCACATACTGTGAAGCATGTATTGTGAATGATGTATTGTGAAGCACATATTGTGAAGCATGTATTGTGAAGGATGTATTGTGAAGCACATACTGTGAAGCACATATTGTGAAGCACATACTGTGAAGCATGTATTGTGAAGGATGTACTGTGAAGCACATATTGTGAAGGATGTACTGTGAAGCATGTTTTGTGAAGGATGTATTGTGAAGCACATACTGTGAAGCATGTATTGTGAAGGATGTATTGTGAAGCACATACTGTGAAGCATGTATTGTGAAGCACATACTGTGAAGCACATATTGTGAAGGATGTATTGTGAAGGATGTATTGTGAAGCATGTATTGTGAAGCACATACTGTGAAGCATGTATTGTGAAGCATGTATTGTGAAGCACATACTGTGAAGCACATATTGTGAAGCATGTATTGTGAAGGATGTACTGTGAAGCCAGTATTGTGAAGCATGTATTGTGAAGGATGTACTGTGAAGCAGTATTGTGAAGCATGTATTGTGAAGGATGTACTGTGAAGCAAGTATTGTGAAGGTAGTACTGTGAAGCGAGTATTGTGACGCATGTATTGTGAAGGATGTACTGTGAAGCATGTATTGTGAAGGTAGTACTGTGAAGCGAGTATTGTGAAGCATGTACTGTGAAGCAAGTGCCAGGTGTATGGGACAACTTACATTATACTCCTCCAAGTCCTGGAGAGTGAAGGTTTCTAAGTCCTCAGTTTCTATAAAGTCTGTAAGGTCGGCTGATAACCTGGAACAGTCATGGTTACCATAGTTACAGGTCATGGAAATGGCTACAGTGGTAACACATCACAAGGTTGGATGCTGCAGGCATACTGTACAACAAATAACATGTTCACTAATGTGTAACGTACCTGGTATTTGATTGAGATCAGTGTGAAATACTATCTAGCTTTGTACAGGCTACACTACTGATAATGCACCAACAGCCTTTGCTTCAGAGTGATGTATGGTATGGCCTATGAAGGTTTTCCATGAAACTTGGAGCATCAAGCAGCAAATACAAAACCCAAATATTAAGACCATTAGACCAATATTTATGGATTGTTGGTTCTACAAGATGTGACTTACTTGTAGTTGAGTAGATCCAGGATTGTATGAGGGTTTGGATATAATGGAAGAGGCAGAATCTGCATTAAAACAGGCAGGTCGCCTGTGTTCTCTACTATAAAATCTGATATCTGCAAGTAAAACATAAATAAGTGGTGTAAGTCTGTCTTGTCACAATGAGAGCACATAAGTAATTGAATGTTAGTTATTTTTTCAGTTTTCCACTTTGTATTTGTTTGTTTGTAGTTTAACACCACACTCAGCAATATTCCAGCTATATGGCAGCTTCTCCTCTTTGTAATGATAACAAGTAACATAACATGAAATCTTGGCAAAGGAATGCATAGCTCTCCTGCATATTAGGATCATCATGAAAGTCTGTGATTACATGATAATAATTACTCACAGATAATGCCCTGGAACATCACCTCACGTGTCACACTGACTGTGCTATTATCATGCTGTTTAACTGTGCTACTTACTGATATGTTGCCTATCTGTGTCAAGGGAAACTTGATCTTGCATTTTCGCACCAGCGATGGCCAGTGCAGATGTGCCTGAGCCGAGAATAAAAAACCCCGAACTTGGTTTGTGTCTAACTCAATGGTAACATTTGCTCTGAAAAAGAAATAACACATTGTCACCATATATTTGTGGATCAGACATTTTACAGGATAAACAACATTTTCCACTCATATTTCAACATAAGGTCATACCTGATTTTATTTTAGGAATTTTTCTCTAGTTCTGAAACCGGTAAAATGTAAAACTTGGTATCATGATGTGGAAATGACAAATCACTTAAGTAAGAAAATCTTCCACTGTGAAAATGTAAGAAGCGGCTTGGATATTGATCACAATTCATCTGCCTTGAGCTGCCGGGTAATGTTGAGGTAGAACGTCGACCTCGATAACTAGTCGTACTATGACTCATTCAGTCTGATGCATGAGTCAAGAATATCACCAATGAACAATCAATGAAAATGGAACATAATGAAAATGGAAAAAAATGAAAATCTAAAAAGCTCTCAATAGCAAAAGGCATATCTTGACAACCTTGTCTTTGTGTGTGCAAAGTTTCAAGAATGAATTCCTGTCAGTTTTAGAGATGTGACCACAACAAACATGATTACAGAAGGACAGAAAAGCACCTTATGATTGAATGCTAAACAGTTAACTTTATATGAACTATTGACAACATGCTATTGCCTGGTTTCCCCTTCAAAATGATGAGAGAAAGGAGTGTTGAAGGGGGATAACTCCGGGGGTTGACCTGGAGGAGAGCTCCCCACTTTGAGTCATGTTTCATGATTGAATGGAGAATTATTTCCTTCTGTATTTTAAGTATTCTCAACGACAATCTGAGCAAGAACCTATGGGCCTCATGAACACCTGGCAAATGTGTACTATCAATGAAACATGACTAAACACAACAGGCCAGACCTGTCCATCTGAACGTGAACAGTATCTTCTAGTCTCTACTAACGTATTTTCTTCTGAGAGTTCTAGCTCCTCCCACTTCTGCTGCAATCGTGTGTATAGGTACTGGTCTGTGTCTGCAACCTCCTTGTCCAGCGACAGGCCCAGCAGCCACTGGTGTCCAGCTGTAACACAAGGTAACACAACATAACACAGGGTAACACAACCTCCTTGTCCAGCGACAGGCCCAGCAGCCACTGGTGTCCAGCTGTAACACAAGGTAACACAACATAACACAGGGTAACACAACCTCCTTGTCCAGCGACAGGCCCAGCAGCCACTGGTGTCCAGCTGTAACACAAGGTAACACAACATAACACAGGGTAACACAACCTCCTTGTCCAGCGACAGGCCCAGCCGCCACTGGTGTCCAGCTTAAACACAAGGTAACACAACATAACACAACAGTCAGGTGTGTGTAGCAACACAGTCACCCATCCTGACCACCAGATTCAAGTAAGTAGACTCTGACAAGGATACTGTAGTATGTGAGTGAAGATTACAGCCACAATCAGTTATCTCCCAGCTACATGTATGTATCAGCTGTCTGTAAACAATCAGAGCAACAGTGGTCGGGGGACCTGGATTAACCCAGGTTTTCACAAGACTGCTAGATTGTATAATCGACCGGAGCCCAACACAAACACTGTTGTAGCTCAAACTTATGACACTGTAGCAAGTTCCTACTTACCAGGTACATATGTCGGTAAACCAACGTAACAATCTTCTTGGCAACCCCTTTTGGAGTCAAAATAAATTTTTCCAACCTGAAAAGACAAACAGCAAGAGATCAGAGAACTGATTTATGGTCCATATACATGTATTTCTTTCAACAGGCGAATCTATGAAGGAAGGAGCCTAAAATTAAAACCATGTTGTGGTTCTGGGGGAGAAATCTACTCACAACATTATGTTAGTGGGGCTGAAGTAAAACCGTGTTGTGGTTCTGGGGGAGAAATCTACTCACAACATTATGTTAGTGGGGCTGAAGAAAAACGTGTTGTGGTTCTGGGGGAGAAATCTACTCACAACATTATGCTCATGGGGCTGAAGTAAAACCGTGTTGTGGTTCTGGGGGAGAAATCTACTCACAACATTATGTTAGTGGGGCTGAAGTAAAACGTGTTGTGGTTCTGGGGGAGAAATCTACTCACAACATTATGCTCATGGGGCTGAAGTAAAACCGTGTTGTGGTTCTGGGGGACAAAGTAGAACCTCCTGTCTGCAGGCTGGAACATCACCTGGGTGACCTCCATGTACTCGCTGAATGTACTGTGTATCTGTAGCACTTTGTAGGGAATTTTACCCTGAAACACACAGGCATTCACCTTTAGTTTGTCCGTCCACAGTCAGCTATATTCTAACCGAATAGAGAGAGATCTTTAACTTATATACAATTATGTAATCAGCAAATGTTGACATATTTTCTACTTACAGGGTAAACCTTATCAAAAACAAATTTGTCTGGAATGGCATGAAGGCTCCCCTCAGCTGTCCGCAGAGTCACTGGTATAAAAATATCCTGAAAGAAACAGAGGTTGACCATGACCAGTGAGGGCAACACCATCTAAAACCAACATAGCATGCGCTTAAAGTATTAAATAGGCTTCATAGTCTGAAGCCACTATTCTAGTGAGTGAGTGAGTGAGTTTTATGCTGCTTTTCGCAATATTCCAGATAACAATGGCAGGAGACACCAGAAATGGACTTCACACATTGTACCCATGTGGGGAATCGAACCCGCAAATTCTTTAACCACTAAAATCATGAGAGATTGAGAATAGCATTCACACATCGTAAGTGAATGTTCTTATCAGCCTCAATGAGCAACAATGTTGTCCTATCACAGTATTGTGGAAATATCCACGTGTGATGGAAGCCAGCAGTAGTTGATGACAACAGCCCCTGCCACACACTGTACCCCTCAATCCACTGTACTGTCACATCCCACATAGTGAGATGACCTGAGAGATGCCAGCCCTGGAGCATGTTCCTACCTGGAACTGTGTGACTATCAACACCTCCGCTGCATACGCCCCCTCTTCGTTTGGCGCAACAACATTAACACTGAACACAGCAAAGTGGTAGGGCTTGATCACCAGCTGCAACAGACAAACATGGTGAAAGTCATGAGTGTGATAGCCCACAGAGATACCATCCCACTGTTTAACATGGCAGCCCACAGAGATACCATCCCACTGTTTAACATGGCAGCCCACCGAGATACCATCCCACTGTTTAACATGGCAGCCCACCGAGATACCATCCCACTGTTTAACATGGGCAGCCCACAGAGATACCATCCCACTGTTTAACATGGCAGCCCACAGAGATACCATCCCACTGTTTAACATGGCAGCCCACCGAGATACCATCCCACTGTTTAACATGGCAGCCCACAGAGATACCATCCCACTGTTTAACATGGCAGCCCACAGAGATACCATCCCACTGTTTAACATGGCAGCCCACAGAGATACCATCCCACTGTTTAACATGGCAGCCCACAGAGATACCATCCCACTGTTTAACATGGGCGAGATACCATCCCACCACAGAGAGAGATACCATCCCACTGTTTAACATGGCAGCCCACAGAGATACCATACCATCCACTGTTTAACATGGCATACCATCCCACAGTTTAAGATACCATCCCACTGTTTAACATGGCAGCCCACAGAGATACCATCCCACTGTTTAACATGGCAGCCCACAGAGATACCATCCCACTGTTTAACACGGCAGCCCACAGAGATACCATCCCACTGTTTAACATGGCAGCCCACAGAGATACCATCCCACTGTTTAACATGGCTACTCCAGACAGACATGTTTGTTTTATCCGCTATCTGCCAAGCCCCAAGTACCATCTGTCAACATGTTTTTGTGTGATGTGGTCACAGAGAGAGCCACCGACGTTCCACTTCCTGCTGCATCCAGCAATACAGGGACAAAACAAGAGATAAATCCATGCCCGAGAGTATGTCTGTTGATGCTGAATGTACTGTTGCTATTGTTATGTGGCAGCCTTAAATGTTTCAAAACACCTTATTGCATTATGTTCATTTTGAATAGTTTGATATGGAAGAGAAATAGTGGAAATCTCGTTTGGTGATGTGACAGATTTCTGCAGTGACTTACCGGATCTGTGTCTATTTCCGACTTGTTGTGTACCCGGGTGAGCGTCGTCCCGTTCCCTCTCTCCATACCAAGGATCTCGACGGTGGTACGGTTCATGTTGGAACTAAACTCACCCACCACAACCTGCACACAAACACAAAGGGTGAGCAAACTACAAGATACACTCTCTATAACCAAACATTTCCTGATAGAGCAAACATTTACTATGTAGCATCATAAACTGCAGTACATGGTGAGGTGAAATTGGGTTTAACGTCGTACTTGAGAATATTTCGCTCATATTACGACGTGTATGCGTGTGTATGTGTTTGTGCGGCTGCTTGTACTAGCCCAGACTGAAGCTGGTTTTATAGTGCTAGCCCACTGAGATACCATGCCGCAGTGAAGCATGAATACCCCACTCATACACATTATACTGACTTTGAGCCAACCAGTCCTTGTTGTACTCATTAATGCAGAGCGCAAGGCAGGGACCAACAAGTACCATATTTTAATGTCTTTTGGTATGATGCGGTCAGGCTGCAGTACATGGATAACCCAGAGGATGCATTCAGCATCACAATCACATCATCATGCGCTTTAGTGTGTTTTAGTTCCTAAATCATATAGGGTGCTATACAACGTTTGTATATTATTTTTTGTATATTATTATCATAAACAGATGAAACATTTGTACTTCGACTCATGGGTATGTCACTGCCAATACTGATCTACTATTCCATGACTTCTTCAGATGTATCATATCCTCTACATCTCTTCATTAATCCCCTTGTTAAATCTATACTCACATCCACAGGGTTGTCGTTGCGCACAGTAAATATCATACTCCGACTTTCGCCTACTCCCATAGTACCGAAATCAAGCTGCCCTTTGAACTTCTCTGGCCGATGATGTATAACCTGCATAGGATAGTACATGTACTTAACTTCCCATCCACAAGTATAAACATATCAACACATAAACAGCCAACAGTGATGTAGTGTAACTAGAGTAAACAACAAGTGTCATCTATCATGCTACCGTCATCAATAGTGATGTCATACCTTCATACATACTGGTATATCAATGTTATATCATACAGTGTATCCTGGTATGCACTGGCGACTTAAATGTAAAATCCTTGTATATAGTGATGTTACACCTTACATAACATATAGGTGTATATCCATGATACATCACATGTAACGTGCTGGTATATGAAGATGTAACACTACAAGTAACATTTTGCAACACATTGACACTGTATTTCATGCACGTATCCCAGACTGTAGTGATTACACGTTAATCCCAGTATATACTGGTATTATATCACATGTGAGGTGAGGTGAAATTGGGTTTAACGTCGTACTTGAGAATATTTCGTTCATATGACGACGTGCATGCGTGTGTATGTGTATGTGCGGCTGCTTGTACTAGCCCAGACTGAAGCTGCTTGTACTAGCCCAGACCCACTGGTTACCATGCCGCAGTGAAGCAGGAATACCTCACTCAGACACATTATACTGACTCCGAGCCGACCAGTCCTTGTTGTACCCATTAATGCCGAGAGCCAGGCAGGGACCAACAAGTACCATATTTTAATGTCTTTTGGTATGACGCGGTCGGGGATTGAACCCACGACCTTCCGCTCTCCGGGCGGACGCTCTAATCACTACACCACGGAAGCGGTCTATATCACATGTAATAATCAGTTGAAATGTGCCACTACCTTGAACAGCCCATTATAGACGATGATAGGAATCTGGAAGGTGGATGCATTTGAATGTATGGTGAGTACAGTGTTGAAGTGAAGCTGTGTCTCGTTTGGATGGAACTTGACCAGGAAGGGTGTGGCCATCTGCTGAGGCTGCAGCAACACAGGCTGTGTAAAGTTGTAGATCTGAAACAAACACACATACAGTGTAGTCATGTAATGAAAATGTACTGATGTAAATGTTTATATTTCTTTACAGCTACCACAACATCAGATAATCAAGTGTATGATCAATGTCGAGGCACAAATATTTCAACTTCTCAATGATGCATTGTAACCACCCCACAGATGTTTGCAATGTATGATAGTCTGATCAAACACTACATCCCAACAGGATTGACCTGTGATGACATGCACAAACTTACAGAAAAGAACTGGGCTACGTCAGCCGGTAGTGTGACGTTGAAGATGACAATGGAGAAGTTGAAGGTGTTCGTGAACATCATCGGCCGTGTGACATTCTTCAGGGCTTTTGCACTAAAGTAGTATGTGGTGTTGACATTGTATACCAGTGACCTGAAACACAACCACTCATATACGACTCGTACATACAACACAACTGTTTCATGTATAGTGGATCAAACACAACTGTTTCATGTATAGTGGATCAAACAGCTGTTTCATGCATAGTGGATCAAACACATGTTTCATGTATAGAGGATCTAACAGCTGTTTCATGCATAGTGGATCAAACACATCTGTTTCATGTATAGAGGATCAAACACATCTGTTTCATGTATAGTGGATCAAACAGCTGTTTCATGCATAGTGGATTAACACATCTGTTTCATGTATAGAGGATCTAACACAGTGTATAGTAGGAGAGAGGAAACATTCCTACCCATGTAGGACATTCGCCCGGAAGGGGATTATCAGTCTGTGAAAATTGTTCTTTGTTCTGATGACAAGTTTTCCAGACCACTGCTTGGGATGAAACGCTTTGACAGCTGGAAAGATAAATCTTTCGTCATTCAATATACAGCAGCTCATAGCAAGCAAATACCCAGACAAAATAGACATTAGGACCATATTTGTTTCCTGCATTGTGATGCTAGTCCATTGACAATGATCACTGCAACAGATTTACTGCTATATATACAGATACACCGATAACAGCATTGATATTGTCAAAACATAAAAAGTAATCACATCGTGTTGAGGGTAATAAGGGGTTTTATCAGTCCCAAGTAAGGTTGTATTACCCGAGGCTCGGGGCTCGGGGAATACAACCTTACTCGGGACTGATAAAACCCCTTATTTCCCCGAGACACGATGTGATAACGCATTTATCTAGCCGAATGTTTTGCTTCAATATCATTCTCAGTTGTTGAGCCAAAGCGTTTCCTTGCTGCCATGTTGACACCAGCTGATTGATTGACCTCAATGCAGCACGCTACTAAAGGCTTGGCGATGCACGCTTTTCTCACTTCGCGTGGTCACCGAGGCGTGGCGGGATAATATGACTTTTGTACTCCCTGCTCATGGATCGTGGACGGGTGTACATGGTATTTTATCAGTCACGTGAACCAATCAAAACTCAACATTCTTACATGAGGCTGGATAATGACTTTTAACAAATGATAGAGATTACACATCGAACAGATAGATTGTTGCATGTATGTTTGTACGGGATGCAAAACTTGAAAAGGACCACACTGAAAACATTCCAAAATATTACTGGACATTCTGAAAATGTATTCCATCAAACTGATTTCAGCTCTCAAATTTCAGTGACTGTAGGGACTATGGCCACTCTCAGGATGTTTCCAAACAGGTAACCATGGCAACTCACTGTTGTGCAATATGTGCTACTGTGTGACAACTCACCATTGTATGTGATATGTGCTACTGTGACCTGCCTCCCTGGGTCTGGCTGCAACTTTATGGGTCGAAAGTCTATGCTCACAGCATCGTTGCTAGGCGACACATTCACACTCTGTGAGAGAGAATATTGAAAATTCAGGTGCAGGATGGTCACAGAAAGCCTTTAACTGAGTCAGAGAAAATTCATTTAACCTGTTATACCAACCATTCTTTGTTAATCTGTATTGATTATAAAACATACACACCGTTATGTCCTTTCGTCCTGACTCAGTTAAGTGATACAAACATTTCTGACTGATATCTTTCAGATGATGACAGTGAAGGTGATGAATCGTTTAGTTAACGGACTGGAACAATACAAGACTGTATCTCACCACGCTAACCTGGACTACCTAGACTCAGCACATCTTCTACTACAGGTACTCACAGAGATATGTATCTCACCACGCTAACCTGGACTATCTAGACTCAGCACATCTTCTACTACAGGTACTCACAGAGATATGTATCTCACCATGCTAACCTGGACTATCTAGACTCAGCACATCTTCTACTACAGGTACTCACAGAGATATGTATCTCACCACGCTAACCTGGACTATCTAGACTCAGCACATCTTCTACTACAGGTACTCACAGAGATATGTATCTCACCATGCTAACCTGGACTATCAAGACTCAGCACATCTTCTACTACAGGTACTCACAGAGATATGTATCTCCCCACACTAACCTGGACTACCTAGACTCAGCACATCTTCTACTACAGGTACTCACAGAGATATGTATCTCACCATGCTAACCTGGACTACCTAGACTCAGCACATCTTCTACTACAGATACTCACAGAGATATGTATCTCACCATGCTAACCTGGACTATCTAGATTCAGCACATCTTCTACTACAGGTACTCACAGAGATATGTATCTCACCACGCTAACCTGGACTATCTAGACTCAGCACATCTTCTACTACAGGTACTCACAGAGATATGTATCTCACCACGCTAACCTGGACTATCTAGACTCAGCACATCTTCTACTACAGGTACTCACAGAGATATGTATCTCACCACGCTAACCTGGACTATCTAGACTCAGCACATCTTCTACTACAGGTACTCACAGAGATATGTATCTCACCACGCTAACCTGGACTACCTAGACTCAGCACATCTTCTACTACAGGTACTCACAGAGATATGTATCTCACCACGCTAACCTGGACTATCTAGACTCAGCACATCTTCTACTACAGGTACTCACAGAGATATGTATCTCACCATGCTAACCTGGACTATCTAGACTCAGCACATCTTCTACTACAGGTACTCACAGAGATATGTATCTCACCACGCTAACCTGGACTATCTAGACTCAGCACATCTTCTACTACAGGTACTCACAGAGATATGTATCTCACCACGCTAACCTGGACTATCTAGACTCAGCACATCTTCTACTACAGGTACTCACAGAGATATGTATAGGTTTTGCTCCTGTATTGATGAGGTTCAACTTCACAACTTTCGGTTTGTCAAGCGTCCTCAAAATACCAAAATCTATCATCTCTATCGGTGAGTATATCCCTGGCTCTGGAAAGACAAAAATGATATAGTCACTCTCAAGATCTACTGATTCACTTGTGTTTCACATTTGGCATGAAAAATGTCGTGAAGAAGTGAGAGGGAGTGAATGTGGATCCACATCACAGTCACATCCTGATGGCAACCAATCAACAACTGTGTGGACCAGGCAGTGTTGCGAAAATGTCTCACTACCATCATATTACATATGGGATGAACTTGTCAAAATATTACCTTCTCACGCGCTTGCACACATGCACACACACCACTTGGATATAAGCAGGCATCACTTGATTAACTCCCCTGATATTAAGGGGTTATCTCCCTTTGACCTGATTCACATTGACTGTTTCTTAATTCATGGTTCATTGTTGCAAAAGTTCCATAGTATAAATATTTGTTTTTGCTGGAATATACATAAAGTTTAGTACTGATCTAATATATATATGTGTGTGTGTGTGTGTGTGTGTGTGTGTGTGTGTGTGTGTGTGTGTGTGTGTGTGTGTGTGAGTGAGTGAGTGAGTGAGTGAGTGAGTGAGTGAGTGAGTGAGTGAGAGAGAGAGAGAGAGTATTCATTACATTTTCAATAGACAGAATTACAAATGGTAGTAAAGAAAACAGAATACTTGTTAACTGTGTGGAAAGTTAAATCATCCAATGATCACACATCAACCAGGTTTATTGTATTTTTATGCTAAAAGTAAAATAATTCAGTTTGTCTGTGACAGTTACGACGTGTCTCAAGACAATGTCTTGTGAACCTTGCTTCAGACAAATATCCATAGTTTACAACACAGATATTACATCTACACAAAACCATGAAGGACAATTTTCTGGTAATGATAGTAAATAAGAACTTCAAAATGACACAAATATTTTCAAGCTGTCAAAATCCAACTGAATTTGGTATCTTAATTTTGTAAAGGAAAAGTATTTTGTGTTGTTGGACATGATCAAGTCCTCAAAATTTTCATTCTCTAATTCAGTCAACAACAACTCTCACAAATACTCGATTGTACATGTGTCAGTATTCTAGTTTTTTCATCCATATAATTTTGAGGATATTGCTGTATGGGCACACATATTACTATTTTCACCGACTGCTGTGTGATCGTGGTGATGTATACAGTTGACCTACCTGACGACACCTCCACCTCCACAGGCAGTATCAGCATCTCAGAATCACTCTCCTGGTTGGTTTTTATCCTGATGAATGCTGTGTGGTTGTTTTCTACTCGACCCACAAAGTTGGCCCGCATTACAGGCTTAGTCTCAAATGGCTGTAATTCCTGTCAAGGTAATCAAGGGAGAGAACTATCAAGGTCAAATGGTTGTAATTCCTGTCAAGGTAATCAAGGGAGAGAACTATCAAGGTCAAATGGTTGTAATTCCTGTCAAGGTAATCAAGGGAGAGAACTATCAAGGTCAAATGGCTGTAATTCCTGTCAAGGTCATCAAGGGAGAGTACTATCAATGTTAAATGGCTGTAAATTCAGGTAATCAAGGGGAACTATCAAGGTTAAAAGGCTGTAATTCATGTCAAGGTAATCAAGGGAGGGAACTATCAAGGTCAAAAGGCTGTAATTCATGTCAAGGTAATCAAGGGAGGGAACTATCAAGGTCAAATGGCTGTAATTCCTGTCAAGGTAATCAAAGAACTATCAAGGTTAAATGGCTGTAATTCCTGTCAAGGTAATCAAAGGAACTATCAAGGTTAAATGGCTGTAATTCATGTCAAGGTAATCAAGGGAGGGAACTATCAAGGTCAAATGGCTGTAATTCATGTCAAGGTAATCAAGGGAGGGAACTATCAAGGTCAAATGGCTGTAATTCATGTCAAGGTAATCAAGGGAACTATCAAGGAGGGAACTATCAAGGTCAAATGGCTGTAATTCCTGTCAAGGTAATCAAGGGATGCCTGGAACTATCAAAGGTCAGGTTAAATGCCTGTAATTCCTGTCAAGGTAATCAAGGGAGGAACTATCAAGGTCAAATGGCTGTAATTCCTGTCAAGGTAATCAAGGGAGGGAACTATCAAGGTCAAATGGTTGTAATTCCTGTCAAGGTAATCAAGGGAGGGAACTATCAAGGTCAAAAGGCTGTAATTCCTGTCAAGGTAATCAAGGGAGGGAACTATCAAGGTCAAATGGCTGTAATTCCTGTCAAGATAATCAAGGGAGGGTACTATCAAGGTCAAATGGCTGTAATTCCTGTCAAGGTAATCAAGGGAGGGAACTATCAAGGTCAAATAATTACAAAAGACCAAAATCATTCTGCATTTGTAATGTAGTTAACTCTTTTCTCATATCTCTCAAACATATTTGAAACATAACATGTATTTGAATTCTTTACAAGCAAATTATTTCATCAGCACTGTCTAAATATTTATTACATACATACAAAAATGCTCATGGAGAAAGCCTAAAACGTTTAACTCTTATTTCCAAGGATGGCAACAAGGAAATCTATTTTCAGCGGAAAACTTAATATTGTGTCATCGAATGGGGGGTTCAGTGGGGTGATTTGATATAAAATCGGTGGAAAAGTGCCATGCCTGTATTCCTTAAATGTAACAAAAAACATTTTTACCCATAATTCTTTTGATGCTTCTTTTGCTCCTGATGGGAGTTCTAGATGTAAATCTCCCTCACTAGAAAACATTTCCAGCACCTGGTGGAAGAGAGACAGACAGACAATGAACAGGTGCCCTGACAATCTACACTTGGCAAGTTGAGGCTGGTGTCGAAACTATCAATGACATCTATTGTCATGTCTAAACAACAAGTTGAGGCTGGTGTCGAAACTATCAATGACATCTATTGTCATGTCTAAACAACAAGTTGAGGCTGGTGTCGAAACTATCACTGGCATCTATTGTCATGTCTAAACAACAAGTTGTGGCTGGTGTCGAAACTATCAATGACATCTATTGTCATGTCTAAACAACAAGTTGAGGCTGGTGTTGAAACTATCACTGACATCTATTGTCATGTCTAAACAACAAGTTGTGGCTGGTGTCGAAACTATCAATGACATCTATTGTCATGTCTAAACAACAAGTTGAGGCTGGTGTCGAAACTATCAATGACATCTATTGTCATGTCTAAACAACAAGTTGAGGCTGGTGTGGAAACTATCAATGACATCTATTGTCATGTCTAAACAACAAGTTGTGGCTGGTGTTGAAACTATCACTGAATCTATCAATGACATCTATTGTCATGTCTAAACAACAAGTTGAGGCTGGTGTTGAAACTATCAATGACATCTATTGTCATGTCTAAACAACAAGTTGTTGCTGGTGTCGAAACTATCAATGACATCTATTGTCATGTCTAAACAACAAGTTGAGGCTGGTGTTGAAACTATCACTGACATCTATTGTCATGTCTAAACAACAAGTTGAGGCTGGTGTCGAAACTATCAATGACATCTATTGTCATGTCTAAACAACAAGTTGAGGCTGGTGTTGAAACTATCACTGACATCTATTGTCATGTCTAAACAACAAGTTGTGGCTGGTGTCGAAACTATCAATGACATCTATTGTCATGTCTAAACAACAAGTTGAGGCTGGTGTTGAAACTATCACTGACATCTATTGTCATGTCTAAACAACAAGTTGTGGCTGGTGTCGAAACTATCAATGACATCTATTGTCATGTCTAAACAACAAGTTGAGGCTGGTGTTGAAACTATCAACAAGGAGACAAAGTCATCAATATCCCCCGCAATGGCAAAATACTCTTCATGATTATGTCTATGAGTTATGATTATGTCAAATATTTATGTGTGTATATAGAAAAGTGGAAGGAGAGTATTGAAAGGTTTTGAAAGTTCTGCTCCAGAAAGGAGCACTGTCACCAATTTCATTCTATGTCAAACTTGTTGGCATGGAAATGCCAAAAATATTTTATTCAGAAGTCCAAAACTACCAAAAGGCACCAGTACACCACCAGATCTATCTATGCGCCAAGTTTGGTGAAGAAATAGTGAATGGTTTTAGAGTTCTGCTACGGAAAAGAGCACAACCACCAATTTCAGTCTAAGTCAAACTTGTTGCCACGGAAACGCCAAAAATATTTTATTCAGAATTCCAAAACTACCAAAAGGCACCAGTACACCACCAGATCCATGTATGTGCCAAGTTTGGTGAAGAAATATTGAACGGTTTTAGAGTTCTGCTCCGGAAAAGACAAATTTGCACGTACCACCAATTCCAGGCTAAGTCAAACTTGTTGCCATGGAAATGCCAAAAATATTTTATTCAGAATTCCAAAACAACCAAAAGGCACCACTACACCACCAGATCTATCTATGTGCCAAGTTTGGTGAAGAAATATCGAACAGTTTTAGAGTTCTGCTCCGGAAAAGAGCACTACCACTAATTTCAGTCTAAGTCGAACTTGTTGCCATGGAAACGCCAAAAATATTTTATTCAGAATTCCAAAACTATCAAAAGGCACAAGAGCACCACCAGATCTATCTATGTGCCAAGTTTGGTGATGAAATAGTGAACGGTTTTAGAGTTCTGCTCCGGAAAAGAGCACTACCACCAATTTCAGTCAAAGTCGACCTTTTTGCCATGGAAACGCCAAAAATATTTAATTCAGAATTCCAAAACTACCAAAAGGCACCAGTACACCACCAGATCCATGTATGTGCCAAGTTTGGTGAAGAAATATTGAATGGTTTTAGAGTTCTGCTCCGGAAAAGACAAATGTGCACGGACGGACAGACGGAGTCCATTTTAATACCCCCTGCAAAACGCGTTGCGGGGGATAATGACATCTATTGTCATGTCTAAACAACAAGTTGAGGTTGGTGTCGAAACTATCACTGACATCTATTGTCATGTTTAAACAACAAGTTGAGGCTGGTGTCGAAACTATCACTGACATCTATTGTCATGTCTAAACAACAAGTTGAGGCTGGTGTTGAAACTATCACTGACATCTATTGTCATGTCTAAACAACAAGTTGAGGCTTGGATAAGACATTGATATGGATTGTAACACAAAAAGATTTGATATTGTTTTAATTCTACACCCTCAAGCGATTCTTCAGCTAGATGATGGAGTCTGTAAATTATTGAGTCTGCACAAAAGCTGATGAAAGGATAATGTAGCAGCGATAATATCCAAACACATTGTTTCTTGATTGATTGAAATTAAACAAACATGATGGCAACAACTAAACACTGAGATATGCAGCGATGCACTCAAATGTGTGCTTAACGCCAATGGCAGCCACATCTAATGATGTATCACTGAGTCAGAGACTGGTTTCATGCTGCTTTCAACACTATTTCAATCAGATCATGATGTGATGCTTCTTTCTGACATTTAGTGTTTTCCTGAAACCATGAGCAAAGGTGTGGTGATGAAATATGGTTGGTTGTAGTTTAAGCCACATTCAGCAGTAGTCCAGCTATATGGTGGTAGACTCTAAGTAATTAAGTTTGAGCCAGACAATCCAATGATCAACAGCATTAGCATCGATACACGCAATGGGGATATGTTGACATAGGTCAACCAAGTCAGTGAATCTGACCACGCGATCCCGTTTGTCACCTCTTATGACAAGCATGGGTTGCTGAAGACCAATTCTAACCCAGATCTTCACGGGTTGTGTGGTGATAGAAACCTGAGAAACATAATCTGGGAAACTGGGATTCAACCCACTATTATTGGTTTGTTGCATGCCCACAGGATGTAATTCTGCAGAAGTAACTGTACTGCCTTAGGCAACTGGGCCTCACATAACCCGCATAATGCACTAACACATGTGAAAGATAGATAAGGCACCTCTACACAACATAAGGATGTCTCACTCACCTGCAGCCTTCTATTATGAGGATTATGCATTTGAATTAAAGGAGAAAAACTACTGTTGATGGGTACTCTGGCTCCTAGGTACGGCCTCAGGCGATACGGGTTGGGGATACCAACACCAAAAACCTGAAACATACGGGGTACATGTCACAATTTGGGGCAGTCTGGAGAAACGAGAGTATAACTGATTAGTGTTACAACATGGGTCTTGAGTTGAATCTTGAGCTTATGAAGGAGTTGATATTTTAAAGAAAATATGGAGGTGTGGATGTATAAGGTATTCTCACCTGGTATTTTAATGAGCCTATGGAGGTGTGGATGTATAAAGTAGTCTCATCTGGTATTTTAATGAGCCTATGGAGGTGTGGATGTATAAGGTATTCTCACCTGGTATTTTAATGAGCCTATGGAGGTGTGGATGTATAAAGTAGTCTCATCTGGTATTTTAATGAGCCTATGGAGGTGTGGATGTATAAGGTATTCTCACCTGGTATTTTAATGAGCCTATGGAGGTGTGGATGTATAAAGTATTCTCACCTGGTATTTTAATGAGCCTATGGAGGTGTGCATGTATAAAGTATTCTCACCTGGTATTTTAATGAGCCTATGGAGGTGTGGATGTATAAGGTATTCTCACCTGGTATTTTAATGAGCCTATGGAGGTGTGGATGTATAAGGTATTCTCACCTGGTATTTTAATGAGCCTATGGAGGTGTGGATGTATAAAGTATTCTCACCTGGTATTTTAATGAGCCTATGAAGGTGTGGATGTATAAAGTATTCTCACCTGGTATTTTAATGAGCCTATGGAGGTGTGGATGTATAAAGTATTCTCACCTGGTATTTTAATGAGCCTATGGAGGTGTGGATGTATAAAAGGTATTCTCACCTGGTATTTTAATGAGCCTATGGAGGTGTGGATGTATAAGGTATTCTCACCTGGTATTTTAATGAGCCTATGGAGGTGTGGATGTATAAAGTATTCTCACCTGGTATTTTAATGAGCCTATGGAGGTGTGGATGTATAAGGTATTCTCACCTGGTATTTTAATGAGCCTATGGAGGTGTGGATGTATAAGGTATTCTCACCTGGTATTTTAATGAGCCTATGGAGGTGTGGATGTATAAGGTATTCTCACCTGGTATTTTAATGAGCCTATGGAGGTGTGGATGTATAAAGTATTCTCACCTGGTATTTTAATGAGCCTATGGAGGTGTGGATGTATAAAGTATTCTCACCTGGTATTTTAATGAGCCTATGGAGGTGTGGATGTATAAAGTATTCTCACCTGGTATTTTAATGAGCCTATGGAGGTGTGGATGTATAAAGTATTCTCACCTGGTATTTTAATGAGCCTATGGAGGTGTGGATGTATAAAGTATTCTCACCTGGTATTTTAATGAGCCTATGGAGGTGTGGATGTATAAAGTATTCTCACCTGGTATTTTTAATGAGCCTATGGAGGTGTGGATGTATAAAGTATTCTCACCTGGTATTTTAATGAGCCTATGGAGGTGTGGATGTATAAAGTATTCTCACCTGGTATTTTAATGAGCCTATGGAGGTGTGGATATATAAGGTATTCTCACCTGGTATTTTAATGAGCCTATGGAGGTGTGGATGTATAAAGTATTCTCACCTGGTATTTTAATGAGCCTATGGAGGTGTGGATATATAAGGTATTCTCCACATTGCCTTCCTGTCTGGCCAAAAATACTACATCAAATGTAGTGTTTCCCCCAAGGGGAACAATCTGAAAACAACAGACACATGCCATTACACCTGATATTACATTCACACCTGACAGTACATACACTTGACATTACATTCTCTAGTTGTTAGTTTCATGATCTAAGCTATAGAGCTGGTTTAGGACTGATGTAATATTAGCAGAATTAGTCCAACTATAACAATTCACCATATTAAACATGGGCATATTGGACTCCAGGGTTAACCCCTGCCAATGTATCAGTGTTACATGTTTGCTACTAAATAATCATGAAATACAATGCTGGAAATATACTTACTTTATCTTGAAAAAATGAGCAATGAAAATGCACTGTACTGCCTGATATTGACAGTAGGTGTAAACTATTTTTTGGGTCATTATTTTGAACTATGACTCTTTCCATACGCGGCATTCCAACTGGCCTGAAAAATAGAAAGTCTGCCTGTAGAGTGATGTCATGTCGCACATCTGACAATACTGCGTCATACACAGTTTGAAAAACATTGTATCAACATATCTGGAAATACACGATATATCATGGCCTGGGCTACAATATCCCAGACCTCCAGATAAGATTTAGCTCATGTGGGCAGTGTTCACGAATAGCATCGGACCCTCTGACAAATCCGGCAGATTCGGCAACCGTCCGATAAAAGTACACAACCCGCCGGACCCAGTGTCTGACTGTATATTCGACAATGACTTTGACTGATCGAAGTTGTTATATGTGACATGTGACACTTGATCGCTGTTAATAAATCTTATGTTTGTTAATAATTTCAATGCCAATTATAAGAAATGTTAAATCTGAAATGTGTGTTTAATTTTATTCTATGGGTCCTGTGAATTTTCAATGGGTCAGACAGACATCTTAAACTAATACAGACCCAATGTCCTGTTACTTTGAACACCATTCGTGAAAACTGTGTGGGTACTATACCCACTGTATTTTTTTTTGGAGTAGGTATTATGAATGTTAAGTGGGTCTTTCATGTTCAGTTACCCACTGCTTTCAAATATGTGCGTATTTCAGTGATTTTACTCACCTAAGTATTATGTCATTGAGTAAGTTTACTAAGCAGGTATGTTCTGCCTTACGTCATATCTAATCAAAACCAACTGAAATATAATGGAAATGATTTCATAAAAACTCACTCATCTTATACTGACAGTACAAGACTTGTCCTATACTAACAGTACAACTTGATAGCAATCGATGTCTTGTTCATAATGCAAGCTAGTTTTATAAATATATTCCGCACGCATTTGTTTAAGCTTTTTGCGTATCTAACATTTTAAATGCGTAATTGGTACGCAACAATTATTTTTCAATGCGTAACTGGATATTTTCTATGCGTATTTTACCCGGATACGCAGCTTATCTGGGCTTCTGATATCCCTGACAATATCTGGCCAACAATGAAATTCAATGCATGATATCTGTTCATTCTATGACACAAACGCACACACTCAACAAGATATCTAACCAGTGAGTGAGTGAGTATGGTTTTAAGCCGCTTTTAGCAATATTCCAGTAATATCACGGCAGGGGACACCAGAAATGAGCTTCACACATTGTACCCTTATAGGGAATAAAACCCTGGTCTCCGGTGTGACGAGCAAACACTTTAACCATTAGGCTACCCCACCACCCCGGACCAGTGATACCACAGTCCCTGATAAATATGACAAGATTCAGCCCATGATGTGATGGACATCACTGTGCACATGTTTTCTGATACTTCCAGTGTTATTTCCAAGTGATGGGACACAACATTTATCATCAAGAAACTCCGCAACGATCTGGGCAAGGTGACATTAGATCCTAGAATCTGATGTCCGATCAAGGAGTTGTTTGAGATGATAAAGACAAGTAACAAGGTGACATTGGATTCGAGAATTTGATGGCCGATGATGGAGCAGTATGACATAATTATGACTAGTACATCTAACATGGATGAGATTGATTCCTAGAATTAATGGCTGATGAAGGAGCTGTATGATATATTTATGAACAGTGTCCCTGATGAAGGAGCTGTAGGATAAGTAGGTGAAGAAGTCAACTCACTGTTGTTGAAAGTCCAGCATAGCAGGATCCAATCTAATGCTACTGGAAAAAAGTTTATCATCTTGAATTCTGAAACAAAACAAAAATACACTTTACTTTTATAGTTTCAACATTTCGAAATATATGAGAGCGAGTGAAATGAAATTATGGGTAAACAGCTTATCAGTGAATGTTTCAATCCACGGTTTGTTGGGTGTGTGGGTGTGAGTGTTCGTGTGGTTGGGAGGGTAGAGGAGCTTGAAGTCAGTGAATGAATGTAAGTGAAATTGTGGTTAAGTAGCTTGTCAGTGGTTGTTTCAATCCACTGTTCATTGTAGTGTATGAGCTTCATTTGGGACAACTTAAGAGGGTTAGTAATGAAAGTGGATTGTATCAATTGAGATGTGATGAACTTTTTCTCTGCATTTTATCAAGTTTCACCAGGCATCACAAAGAAGACTGCTCATGTCTGTCCTGTTTAAGTTCACAGTTTGGTATAACATAAAATATCTACAAGTATATCTTAGTGAAACTGCAAGTATATTTTAGTGTTCAGGTATATCTTGAGGTGTATCTGTGTGGTGGCGCGTGGTCCTGTGCTTAAAGCTCAGGTCACAAATCGGTGAAGTTAAGCAGCGTCGAGCTCGGAGAGTGCTTGGATGGGTGACCGTGTTTGGCAGCTTGACTCCTGAGAGTTTCTAGGACTTGAGTCCTGCCCCACAACGAAGCACATGTGACACATGTGGTCTCACCTTAGGCAAGTGAGTTTGTTCAAAATTGTCTCTGTTCACCCAGCAGGAAAATGGGTACCCGGTGGAAAAAAGTCATATGACTATAACCTTCTAGCGCCTAACAGGCAGCTTGGGTTATCCGGGGTAATAATGGCCTTGATTGTTAGCGCTATGAGCATACCTAGTGTGGAGTTTGGCTATATAAATGGACACATTATTATTATTATTATTATCTTCAGGAATAACTTTAGGTGTATCTTAAGGCATATCTTTATGTAACTTTGGGTATAATTTATGTCACATTCAGGTTTATCTTTGTATACCTTCAGGTAATCCATACTAAACATATCTCTAAACATTCACCAGGGCCTCCAAGGACATACATACACACAAACCAGCAACAGAAATAAATAGGAAATTTCCTTCATGGAACACCTCTACCTCTCTACCTGTGAGCAACCTTCCTGCAGTGTAAAAACAGTACAGAACATGAGGTAAGGTTCCTATACATGACTATCTGCAGCACTTGAACCAGGAGTGTAGCTCTGCAGCCACGTATTTCCACTCATCCAGTGGCGAGAGATATGACATCCACTTGACTTGTCATAAAATATAACAGATCTTCTTTCCCGATGCTAGCTGACAAGCAAGATATTGAGGATCTCAAGGTTGAAGCTTTGCGCAATATTATTATTATTATTATTATAGGATATTTATATAGCGCGGATATCCAGGCAACTAGTGCTTGCTCAAGAAGATAATATTTTAAGCAATACTGAATATGGAAGGAATCCCTCTACTCTGTGGGATCATCTTTCCTTGTTTGACATTTGAAAAATGCAATTCAAAATGTCAGGAAGAAAAGAATTATTCATTGCACATAAAAGTCACTATTTCAGTCCATTTGTCAAGGGTGAACTAAGGAAAGATCCCTTCCATTTCGACAGAGCTACCAACAGAGGAACAGCAATTCAGTAAAACTGTTGCTTGGTTGTGCAGAGGCACTGCAGGCACTGAGATGGTGAACTAGTCCAGTGTCTGTACTGAGGCACAGCAGGCACTGAGATGGTGAACTAGTCCAGTGTCTGTACAGAGGCACTGCAGGCACTGAGATGGTGAACTAGTCCAGTGTCTGTACTGAGGCACAGCAGGCACTGAGATGGTGAACTAGTCCAGTGTCTGTACAGAGGCACTGCAGGCACCGAGGTGGTTAACTAGTCCAGTGTCTGCACAGAGGCACTGCAGGCACTGAGATGGTGAACTAGTCCAGTGTCTGTACTGAGGCACAGCAGGCACTGAGATGGTGAAATAGTCCATTGTCTGTACAGAAGCACTGCAGGCACTGATATGGTGAAATAGTCCTGTGTCTGTACAGAGGCACTGCAGGCACTGATATGGTGAAATAGTCCAGTGTCTGTACAGAGGCACTGCAGGCACTGAGGTGGTGAAATAGTCCAGTGTCTGTACAGAGGCACTGCAGGCACTGAGATGGTGAAATAGTCCAGTGTCTGTACAGAGGCACTGCAGGCACTGAGATGGTGAAATAGTCCAGTGTCTGAACAGAGGCACTGCTGGCACTGAGGTGGTGAAATAGTCCTGTGTCTGAACAGAGGCACTGCAGGGACTGAGGTGGTGACATAGTCCTGTGTCTGAACAGAGGCACTGCAGGCACTGAGGTGGTGAAATAGTCCTGTGTCTGAACAGAGGCACTGCAGGGACTGAGGTGGTGACATAGTCCTGTGTCTGAACAGAGGCACTGCTGGCACTGAGGTGGTGAAAAAGTGTCTGTACAGGGGCACTGTAAATCATAGTGAGAAGATAAACTAGACCAGTTACAAGAAAACACAGCCTCACTGACTCACTTGCTTAAACACCAACACAGACTAACCATGACTTGATGGTCCAGGTGAGACTGGTCAATGATGCGCATCTGTTGTTGGTTAGAACTGCGTGGGACAACAACAGTTTTACTTAGAACCTTCATGGCAACATGTGGATACAGCACAGAGAAAATAGTCAAAACAACTCACAACCATACAACTGTCCTCAAGCTATGTCGTCACTTTCCCCAAACAACAGCAATTATCCACAGCTGCCCAAGCTCATGCTGAATCAGAAGGCATGTTTCTCCTTGAGTGCCATCAATATAGGAGGAAAAGAAAACACTATATTTCTTTGTTGTTAAATCGACTCAACAACATTTGAGCTTCACAATGATGGCCTGTAAATAAGTCTTGACCAGACAATGCAATTATTGACATAATGGGCAATCATTCATAATGCTGAAGGCACTCAATCTACAAGGTCAGTCAGCCTGACCCCCACTTCAGTGATGTCTAACAACTACCCAAGGTTGGTGGGGACAGACTACAGGTGGTGTCTGCCATCTTCACACCATGCATTGATCTCCTGTATATATCATTGAGTGTGCACATCAACAAATGAGTGGGGCTTGACATTACTTTAGACAGGATTTCACTTACATCACAGATGGCAGGCTAATGAGATGGAGGTTTTAACTGCTCTGAAGAATGAAGATAGCATGGTGTGTCTTTTATACCTGAATCAAGACAGTTTGGCCATCTTGTATACCTGAATTAACACAGCTTGGTGTGAACTGCATTATCAGCTATTGCATCATACCTCTGTTTGTACAAAATTCATTTCCTTATTTTGACTGCAATGTCCTGTCACCGCCCAAATCAGCAAGTGTTCATGGCTATGAAGCAGTGTGTTGTACAATGAAGAGGTACCCGTCATTACACAGGCCATGCACACAGACAGGATGTATTCTCTGTGGCCTGATAATATTAAAACTGACTGCAGTTAGGTCACAGTGACATTAGGATGCATGACGCTGAACCCCAAACCTACTGTTACCCTTGTGTTATACTGCTTGTATATCTAGGTTGATACAGAACCTCCAAACTATTGTTACCCTTGTGTTATACTGCTTGTATATATAGGTTGATACAGAACCCCAAACATACTGATAGATTGATACAGAACCCCAAACCTACTGTTACCCTTGTGTTATACTGCTTGTATATATAGGTTGATACAGAACCCCAGACAGATATAACACTAGTATATCTAGGTTGATACAGAACCTCCAAACTATTGTTACCCTTGTGTTATAACACTTGTATATCTAGGTTGATACAGAACCCCAAACTATTGTTACCCTTGTGTTATAACACTTTTAGGGTTATAACACTAGTATATCTAGGTTGATACAGAACCCCCAAACTATTGTTACCCTTGTGTTATAACACTAGTATATCTAGGTTGATACAGAACCTCCAAACTATTGTTACCCTTGTGTTATAACACTAGTATATCTAGGTTGATACAGAACCTCCAAACTATTGTTACCCAAACACTAGTATATCTAGGTTGATACAGAACCTCCTTGTGTTATAACACTAGTATATCTAGGTTGATACAGAACCTCCAAACTATTGTTACCCTTGTGTTATAACACTAGTATATCTAGGTTGATACAGAACCTCCAAACTATTGTTACCCTTGTGTTATAACACTAGTATATCTAGGTTGATACAGAACCTCCAAACTATTGTTAACCTTGTGTTATAACACTAGTATATCTAGGTTGATACAGAACCTCCAAACTATTGTTACCCTTGTGTTATAACACTAGTATATCTAGGTTGATACAGAACCCCAAACTATTGTTACCCTTGTGTTATAACACTAGTATATCTAGGTTGATACAGAACCCCCAAACTATTGTTACCCTTGTGTTATAACACTAGTATATCTAGGTTGATACAGAACCCCAAACTATTGTTACCCTTGTGTTATAACACTAGTATATCTAGGTTGATACAGAACCTCCAAACTATTGTTACCCTTGTGTTATAACACTAGTATATCTAGGTTGATACAGAACCCCCTATTGTTAACTTGTGTTATAGTATATCTACTACTATTGTTACCCTTGTGTTATAACACTAGTATATCTAGGTTGATACAGAACCCCAAACTGTGTTTAACACATCTAGGTTGATATATGTAGGTTATGATACAGAACCCCAAACTATTGTTACCCTTGTGTTATAACACTAGTATATCTAGGTTGATACAGAACCCCCAAACTATTGTTACTCCTTGTTATAACACTAGTGTAGGTTGATAAACCCAAACTATTGTTATATCTAGGTTGATACAGAACCCCCAAACTATTGTTAACCTTTGTGTATATCTAGGTTATAACCTTGTGTTATAACACTAGTATATCTAGGTTGATACAAAACCCAAACTATTGTTAACCTTGTGTTATAACACTAGTATATCTAGGTTGATACAGAACCCCCAAACTATTGTTACCCTTGTGTT